TAATCCTAACGAGCAAGAAATTATTCCCACATGCAAAGCCAACAGGAGCTGAAATCTATCACCTCTTATGAATCAAAAGCTTATTACTGTTTATTGGCATGCTGTATGTGCACTTTGGAGGGTCTCATTAATTCTTCATAATAATCTGTTTTCAATTAAATGGCTGTGACGGGAGGTGAATGCAAGTTCTGCATCGCACTTTTTGTGGCAAACCGTCCCAATACAAACTTCCTGATACAGCAGATGTGACTGCCCGTCTTCTGGCAGTGATGCGTGCCAAACAGCTGTTTGCTCATGAGAACCAGGAGAGCTCAGCTTTGCTTAGAGATGTTTGGTGTGAATTTATACTGCTAAATACCTTACATTTCTTTGTCGCACTGGGACTAGTTTCTGTCACATGCAAGAGCGTGACACACCAGGAGAGAGAACGCCCGAATCTTTTCTTCCCCCTCACTTCTGCATTCCCTTCCTCACCTTCCCCCAGAGGAGAGAGCAACTTCTAAGCCAAGGAGCTCAATTTCCACTGGAGAAACGTTAGCAACTTGCAATGAAAACTGAAAAGACATAACTACTTGTGGACTTTTTTGGATTAGGAAGACAGAAACCCTGACTTAGTACAAGGAATACGCCTTTATCTGAAAAACAGGCAGGGAGGGAAGAGGCTTTAAACTATCTTTTGGCAACCGCTGGTATTAGGCCCCAGTGTGCCTATCTATGGCTAACGTAGATAGTCGCTGTTGCAGCAATAATTCCAGAGCATAAAGCAGCGTCAGTAATTCTGCTGCCTAGAGGCCAGCAGCAGCAATCAATGGTTTAATTTGCAAATTTTAAAAGGGGAGAAATAACGCCAGCACCTAAAACAGCCTTAGAATTGATCACACAGGGCTCAGTCCTAAGTGAAGGCCCCTTCACCACATGCGTGCTGAGCACTGCCTTCTCCATGGAGTACACATTAACATTAGGAAAGAGGGAGATAAAGATAGATTTTTAAATTAATCTTACTTTGCATTGCAGCACTGTATATGTAAAAAATCCAGTTTATTGTGCATCACTCAGATCTTTGCAGGCAATGTAGGACAAGGCAAATGTACGTAACCCCCTGGCAGGGGATAATCAACCAAGGATCTCCTTCCAAGTTTGCTGAGCAAAGCCTGGCATCCCTTCCACTGGTACCGACAGGTCAGTGCTCTTGCTCACATTCTCCCACTTTGGTAACAACTGGAGAAATGGGCCTGGTTAGACCTTTCCTGCAGATTTCCCTGCCTGACTGACATGCCTAATCCTGTGGTTGACAGGACAGCTCTTCATCCCATCCTCTCTTTTGATTCTGGCTCCTCACCTCTGGCTTTGGAGTTTCCTGACGCTGAACGTGGCTCTTGATTCCTTGTTTCGGTTTGCCCAGACGCTTTCAGTAAGTGCCTTGATTGTTACAGTGATCAACTGAACAGGGAATTAAGCCAATAATGGTCAGTGCAGAGTACAGAAGATAACTGAGAAAGATGAGGGAGACCAGTATTGCGACCACTAGCAGAAAGGAAAGAAGAGATTAACGTAACACTCACCATGAGCAATAAAGGACAAGAAACGCCTTCTTGCCAGCACGAAGAGATGATCTGGACAAACAGTAGGAAATGGGTCACTGCAGCTGTGTCTGGTTTGGTCTGGAGGCTGTGAGAGTGAAGGAAGTCAAGAGGAGAAAATTGCAGCAATCAAAACAGAAGACAGTTAGGGCCCATATGGGCGTACTTCGGTGTCATGAACGGAGTGAGAAATGCAGATTTTACAGGTGTTGTGTTGCATCACAGGAAGAATTATGGGATTATCAAGGGGAAAGGGGGAACATAATGAGAATTTGGGGGAATGTCATTAACCACACATGCTTTCTGTTAAGTTCTGCTGAAAACTTTACCTCTTCTTCCCCTGAATGACTTTGTGCTTATCTTAGAGAAGCAGGGAAAAAAAAAAGATCAAGTAGACAGGATATGACTGAAAGTTAAAGAAAACAAGAACGAATGAGAAACAGACGCCTTAGAACTTTCTCGATCAGTGTACATCTACTGCGTTTGCTGATTGCTCTGAGTAGATGATTCCCATGTTATTTAGGATAGGGCTTAATCCCAGATTACCTATAAGTTTTCCTCTCCCAACGCCCATCTCCATTTCTTTGCCCACCCAGCACTTCGGTCCCTCCTGCCCACCATGATTTCCGAGATAATAATTCCCGAACTTCTCAGGTAGGTCCCTCAGAACCCCCCTATCCCCCCCAAATGTCTTTTCCAGCTCCTCCTCACCATCTTCTTCATAAATGCGTCCTACACAGGCTTCACATTCAGGAGCCTCGTGTCTCTTTTCCTTGTACGTTTTTAGGAAACCTGACTTCTGATACAGTTAACCTATTTCTCAGCTGTGTCTTTGGATTGCATCTGTGATGTGTCAGCACTGCTAGAGGCACTTTAGCAAAGTCCAAAAGGAAGAGATAAATTGCGCTGGAGACAGGGGAGAACTATCTGCACCACATGTAATACACGTTAATATGTATTATGTATGGCTATGTTATATATATTATGCACAGCTAACATTTTCCACTTCCCTCTCTTTAATATTGAAAATGTCTCTAACACAGTTCTGCTCTAGTCTCCTTACCTCCCTTACATTTGATAGCATACAGAATAAGCAACAGTCAGCCTTTTTTCCCCTGGCTGGGGATGCAGCAGTCAGTGCGATACCTGGTATGTCTGTGATGTTTAACTGCCCTGCCTTCACGCTCTTTGCTAACCCTCCCCAGCTGCAACCAAGCCAGTGGGGGAGGGAAACCCTCACAGTCAAATCCAGAAAGCACTTAGTGAAAACAAATAAGGTTGCTAAGGAACCATAAACTCAAACCCACAAAATCCAGGAAATGGAAAGGAGTTCATATGCTCTTTTCAAACACACACCACTCAGTCCCCTCAGCGCTCCGTCTGTCACATTATACTACCACAGAGCTAAGGCTGTGACTGTACGTGCCCAGGACTGATTCCCCAAAATGTGGGAATCCCAAGAACCTAGCACATTGTGCCACTCAACAATATCTACCTCTCTTCTTCCCTAATCACACCACACTTAAGAATAGTTTATAGTGCAGGGAGAATATAAATTCTGTGTATATCATTAGTCATCTGTGACAGTAGCCTAGGTGACAGTAGCAATGAAGGTGCCAGCAGCACAGCTGGGCAACATCAGCATACAAACCGAGGGTCCACAGAAGGCACAAATCGTACCCTCCCTGACGTTACCATCCTGCCAGCTAGACTAAAGACAGCATGGGCTTGACTGCTGATTTGCAACTCCGTTTTACCACGCAGGTACAGCCTCCGGAGCCACGCTGTGCCCACAGGGATTTTCTTGAAACCAAATCTATTACTGTGCTCAACCCATAAATAAAGCTATCTCCAGTGCGTTGGGAGGTAAGAAGATGACAGCCAAAGGAAAGGGGTGAACATGCCAGTTATACCTTGCCTGTGCCACACAGACCCTGGGGCCACGTTTACGTGTCTTCAGAGCCTGGTGAACTCTGGAAGCAAGGGGCAATTGAGGCAAGGCAAGCCCCTTTCATCAGCTGTCCTTTGAGCACCGCATGTGCTGTTCCCCATGCACACAGCTACGTTGCAGCACCTGACAAATTTCCTCACACTTTAAAACACTGTGAGAAATAAGAACATGCCACTAGAAAGGTTATATTTAGCCCTCCTATCTCCATTCACCTTGAGTTAAATCAGATACTCAAAATGTAGCAATTGCCTACCATGCAGAGGTGCAGTTGTACATGCCGTACATCTGAAATGACAATAGCCACCAGTCTTGGCTTAATCAATGCTTCACAGCAAGGTTGAAACTCCTCTGAAAGAAATAGGGTGAACTCAGTTGCTAATTTGGCTTCATCCTATCTTGTCATACAGAGATCAGAGTGGTTCGTTTCTGCCATGAGAACAAAACAAGACAGCATTTCCACTTCCCACTCAGAGTTTGCACCAAAATGGCACCACTGAGTAGTACAAGGTGTTTATTAGAAATTGAACAAGTTTTAGTACTTGCTAACAACACAACTTTAAAATGATCAATATGAAAAAGCATAGCCCATATATCCTTACACTATATCCAGGTGAATGTACGTCCTTGCCTCGCATATCCAATGCATTTTGTCCACCATGTGGCTGTATTTCACAAGTACAAACAGTAAGAATAAAAGGGTATTTGCACAAACAGCCACAGCTGTGGAACATCAGGCACTTCAGGTTCCACTTCAAGTCAGCAGAGACAAAAGACCCTGCAAAGGGTGAATAAATGCACTGGGGTTCTCCCCGTTGACCAATTTCCTGTGCCCGAGGATTTTTGCATCTCTCAGAAGCTGCGCTAACCGCAGGGGCTAAAGACCGAGTCGTCAGCAGGTGTAGTAGCCCTCACCTCTCCGAGCCGCGGCTTCATATGAAGAGCAAACCCAGCAGCAGCATTAGACAAAACCAATGCCAGGATGCAACAGCTTATCTCTGAGGACTACTATCAAATAACTGTCTCACTTTTAGCATTAAGATGTAACAGGATGTTAGAGGGTCTACATTACTTCTACGAAATTCAGTTTTTAAACACCACATTAACCACCAAAATTAGCTTCCAAATTAGGAAAATATGACTTCTAGTCGTTTACAACTATAAGTTTGACTGCAAGTTCGCAAAAGACAGCATGCCCATTAGTACAATTCTTCTACAGCTATTACCAAACACGGCTTTCAGTCAAAAGCGTAGTGATTTATATTTCAGAAAGGTATGGTGGGAAACACAAAGTTGAAGTAGCTTATGGAATTATCAGTTTCTCAAACACACGGTTATAGATCGGAGAAAAGGATTTAGAGAGCCATGCAATTTATTTTGTGTAATGATAAAAAAAAAAAATCAGGTAATACATTGAAGATAAATATGTTTGTGCCCTCAAAAAGATCCCAAACTTAAAGCCCTTTCTTTTCCACACTACACGTTTCATCAAACCAGCACAGCAAGAACATCATGTGTGGCATTTGCACAGCCGCAGTTACGGCTCAGCTCTCACATAAGGAGAGCAAAGCTGCCCAACTGCTTCCAATTCAGGATGCAGAAGACAAGTACAAATAACAAACCGCCTGTTTCTAACGTGACACTTCAGCTGATTACACTGAGAAAACTAACAAGAAAAGATAAAAACCTAACTAGGATGAGCAAGCTTGCTGTGTTGATAAAGCCTGTACACTTTTATCATAATTATGCTCAAGGGCAGAGTAATAGCTTCCAAACAGACAAGCAGAAGAAAAAAAGCAGGGTTTTTCAGTATGTTCCAAAACATAGACCACACCAGAGTCCCACTAAGGTCTTAAACGCTCATCCCCTTTACCCAAGCCTTTAATTGAGTCTTCACTAACTCACGAGCACAAACTTAGGAGGAAAGCAGGGTAAGAAGAAAAGACTTGTACCTTTCAAAGTTGCTTCACATACTTTGATTCTGGGCACAAATCAAGCAGCAATGATTGAAATTCAAACTGTAAAGGTTTCATTTATGCCTAAAGCAAACATCAGGCACTTTGCTGCCATGGTGATGAACACAGTAAAAACACCTCACACTTGCAGAATCAGGAGCGATTAAAGTAGGACTTGGTGCAATAGTTAAAAGCAGTCTGGCATCAGACACATGTTGTGAGTTCACACTTTAGAAAATGGTTTATAGTTTATTGAGTTGTGCAAAACCTGAAATACATAAACAATAAACGAACAGAGAAGTTGTGCTGCGTATGTTATGCATATACGCTACTCTGGTCCGGCACAGAATTTAAGATGAGTTGACTGATCAAGGGTTCCCAACATAATAGCCATAAAACTGTTCGGGAAATGAGTCACCTGCTTGACTAGCATATGTTTGCTAACACCAAGATAATAAATACTCAGCTTCGGAAAACTAAGCAAGTTTTATCACATTTTGTATTTTAAATACCCAAGTTCCATGTTAAAGCTCAATACCCCCATGTTCCCTTTAAAATGACAAATCATTAAAAAGATTTTTTTTATAAAACTAAAGCTAACAGCAGCTGAATCTTTTATGTCTGACACATTTATATTACAATATACATACTAAATTTGAAGGTACAAAGAGTTTTCAAAGCTGTTCCAGACTATCAAGCTGATTTTGACTTTTTGGGACTAACCCCACCATCTTCAGCTGACTTCTCTGCTGGCCTCTTTTTTAACCCTTTCATTTTTCGTGTCTGCAGTTTACCAAGATCTTGCTTCTGCATGTGGATTCGACCATAAGTTGTACCGAACACATCATGGGAGATATTCTTTTTCTTCTTAGGCTGTAAGGGAAGATGATGATTAGTATTTCTGAGTAGAGAGTGCCAGGAGCTCCAGTGAGAAGCCAGATATCTGGCCTTACCATCACCATGTTCACCAGTAATTAAACTACCAAATCAAGTGCCTAAAAGCAAGGCCGCATACATTGTTTGGAGCTTAGCGATTAAGATTTGTTCTGCTCTTATGTGCTACCAGAGGAGAGTTTGTATGCCAGCTGATCGCCACAAAAGTGCTATGGCCCCAGAAATATCAGTTGGCCTATATAAAAGTAAGCTTTGGTCGATTATACAATAATTAATACTTCAGCTTCTGCTCTTCTTCACATATAGATCTGGAAGTAATATACTTTCCAAGGTACGTACCTTCAGGGCTTTTGGTTGTTTTAAAGACAGCTTATAAAGGTCGTCCGAAGCTAAATGTGTCCTCCTCATAACCAGATCTAATGAAGGTCCCATCTCTTCCAGTTCAATTCTTGGTATTTTACAGCCAGATTTCTTCAGAAGCACCCTAGAAGGGAAAAACAAGTAAAATCAACATTTTCCTCTGTGATAAAGATTTATCCGTCCTCCTAAAGGGCAGGTTCAATCCTGTAGTTCAAAAGACTATTAAAAACAATTGCTACTGCTAACTCTATTATTGAGAAAGACGCCTGGCAATAACACTTCGCAATATATTAAATCTGTTCCATCACAATTTGAACACACCCAAAATATAACCTGGCTAAGGTAACTTTCTGTTTTTACTTTTTAAAATTAGACTAGTATTATCAGTATTACTGTTAAAACTCAGTCCCAGTACCCCGAAAGCCATATCACTCCTCAAATTCAAAATAGTGCCCTGGGTATTAATAGACATGAAAAATATTTACTATCGTTTGCGGCAAAATAATCTGAGCACTAACCAAGAAAGTTTTGCGTTTGTTTGTTTTGAAGAATGAGACTGATAAAAGTGATTTTGTTATAAGAGAAATCAAAAGCACGTGGAACGCAAGCTATGAATGCTCACAGCCTGCTAAGGCAAGGCCATGAACTGTGAGGGTGAACACCAATGCAGCAGGAAAGATTGTCTTGTCCTGCCTGTTCCTGTTTTCCCTTGTGTATGACTGGCTGCAGCCTACCACCTGTCGTTCTCTGACAGACACCTAAGTGAGGAGAGTCCTAGAAATCAGCCTGAGAACGGACTAAATCTCTGAAGTCCAAGACTGCACTTTGAATTCACCGAGTTAACTCACACCACCTTACTAATCCAACCATACGAAAGAGCAATCCTCCTAGCTAGAAGGGGGAGCTCAACAAGGAAGGAAGCAGCACGTTTAGGGCTTAAGCGTTTTCCTTCTGCCGTACAAGTTACTCTGTGTTATGCAGGAACACCTCTACGCATTACATGTTTTAAATGCGGCAAACTATTGCTCAAGCCGGTTCAATTACACAACTACGGGCTAAATTTGGGGAAAAGTTGACAAGTGTACCAAAAAGCAAACAAATAGGTAAAACACATACTCACTTATAGCTTCGCATGTAAATTTTCCCATCTACAGCTGTGAAATGCAAAACATACTCTAAACCAGCCAGACGAATACTGGGCACACTAGGACCTCTGAAGAAATCTGAAAGAATATTTGAAAAGAATAAATGCCAGGTTTCTTGGCTGAAAACCAAACCAACAGATGACTATGTGTCATGGTTTAACCCCAGTCAGCAACCAAGTACCACAGCTCGCTCACCCTCTCCCCCCCCAGTGGCATGGGGGAGAGAATCGGAAGGGCAAAAGTAAGAAAACTCATGGGTTGAGATAAGAACAGTTTAATAATTGAAATCATAATAATAATAACGATGATGATAAAAAGGAAAACAACAAAAGAGAGAGAGGAACAAAACCCAGCAAAAACAAGCGATGCAACCGCTCACTATGTGCCAACTGACACCCAGTCAGTCCCAAAGCAGCGATTGCCGCCCCCCACCCAACTCCCCCCAGTTTATGTACTGAGCATGACGTCACATGGTATGGAATGTCCCTTTGGCCAGTTTGGGTCAGCTGTCCTGGCTGTGCCCCCCCCCCAGCTTCTTGTGCACCGCCTCGCTGGCAGAGCATGGGAAGCTGAAAAGTCCTCGACTTAGTATAAACACTGCTTAGCAACAACTAAAACATCAGTGCGTTATCAACGTTATTCTCTTGCTAAATCCAAAACACAGCACTGCACCAGCTACTAGGAGGAAAATTAACTCTACCCAGCCGAAACAAGGACAGTATAACAAATCCGTTTATTTCATAAGGGACCCGCATCACATCACTGATGTGAACTCCTTGCCTATATAGATATTTTTACTGCATCTAACGAAGCAAGGCTATACATGGGATGGAGCTAGACGAGCCGAATCCGTATGTTTAGTGGGAATCTCACACAATAGCCACTACTTAAAACTGCAGCCCTGCCAAAACATGGGAGAGAAACTTAACATTACAGGTGTTAGCTCCCGCACTGGTGAAACCAAACGTGTAGAAATCCTGACAGGAACACAGTGACTTCCCAGAGATACTTGGGTAGCAATGCACACGCTACCTAAAAATAAGTGCATGGAGAAGAGCAAATATACTTTCAGAGCAGTAACTTAGTTTTATTAAGCTAATTGGGATAATTGCATTGTCTATTCTTCTTAATATTCAGCTTTAAAGTCAGAAAAATGAAATGTATCTTATTTTGTGTTTAGGCCAGTTCATGCTCGGCTAAACATCGATGAATACAGAGAAGCCATTAGTTCAGGTATCTGTTTGAAGACATCATTCAACAAACTGATACTTAAGATTCTTCATCAGAGCCAGATTTGGATGAGTAGAAAGAAGGATCAAAACCAGTACAAAACAGATCAAAATTGTATCTTGTCTACTCTTACCAACATTTTCTCTCACTGACTTAGGGAAAAAGTTTAGATACATCGTTTCTTTCATACCTCCCCCGCAACAAAGTACTTCTGTCCTTTAGGTAAAGCGGTATTCGTCATTACAATTAATGTTTTCTCTATTTAATAAGCAAAACAACTATAAAAATAAGACACTTAAAATACTTGCTTAGTTTGCAAAGAGAACACTAAAATACAGGTTAAATACAAAATGAGCTGTCTCTAGTGAGGTTCTTATATCAGGCTATAAAAAAAACCCCTGTACAATCAGAGAGCTTGCAATAAGCACAGCAATCTGTCCAACATATGCAGAGGGTGGAGAAAGAATGTGACCTTGACTGAGGGAACAAGGTGTGCTAATAAATATGACAGGGCAATGCTGAAACATAGGAGAACTGCTAACAGATGCAAAACACATCAGTCTTTTCCGTTTTCTGTCCCATTTTCAGATCCCTTGAGTAGTTGTCTTTTCCTCCACTACCTTTTTCAAGAGTATCAGCACTGGAGTGACATCCAAAACAAAGTCTTGCTGGCAGATACCAGCTGGAGTCTAGCCAGGAAGTTTCCTTGGTCAATTAAACACTCTCTCTCCTCCTCTTGTGGGTTGAGCTTGCAGTTAGAGGAAAAGTTGCAAATTAAATATTTTGTTCGCTTCGGGCATATATTTTCCCTTTGACTAGTTCTCTGCGGGTACACAAGCTTACATTTACAGTGGTTTTATTGGCAACATCCATCTCCCTTTCGTATTTTCCTGTGGCATCATACATCTTTTTACCCACAGGATGATCTCTTCCAACAAATGCAGGTGGCCAGGAATTTCTGTTTCCTGGCAATGCTAAACAACTGCAGAAACCTTACACTTCAGTACACCCAGAGAGCTGAAGGTTTTTTAATGTACTCTTAATTTACAACTCCTGCTTTGGTTGGACTAGAGACTTGCTTTCTCCTTTCTTTCCATTTGTCGTTCTTTCTCCCCCTTGTCCTCAACGTGTTTCCAGAACTTCTAATTTACTTTGTCCTGCAGAGAGCTTCACAGGACCTTTCAATTTCCAGATTAAATTCCTAAATTATTTTGGAGCACAAGTCTATACACTTCTTTTTGTATCAATGCCTATTCAAAAGCTGGTAACACTGTAACCTATGTAGCTACGGTTAGCATTAGCAGAGTTCAAACTCTATCCCAGGCATTTCCCAGCCATCCCCTTTCCTGGCCAGAAGGAAACCACAACTCTTTTGAGACACTCAAAAAAGTCTGTGTGAGGAAGGCTGTATGAAGAACAAGCTGATGGTCAATCTAAAATTGTAGAGGTCTCCTGAAAACCAACATTTGAGAAAGTGTATAAGCAGGTCACGTAGTGCCTAGCCATTTTCAAGATGAAACGGGTGTGCAATAACAGAACTAGCAAGCAGGCAGTGTTGTAAAAGAGGAAACATTTTATAAATACAAGCATAAAAAGTTATCAGAATTTCATGAACTGCATTCCAAGGACTTACATTGTAAATTAATTCCTACACTACCACATCAGTAGGCAATGAAAACCAAAAGAGAAAATGGGATGTCTTTGTCTTCCAGGTCTCTAAAGAAAAACGCAGCTGCCATTTATTTCTCCTAAATAACTTCTTCCACTTCACAATCTAAGCGGACTATAGGGTTTGGTTACCATGAAGACAACAATTCACCCTTGCCTTTAATTTTAGCAAGAAACTGCTGTAAGATGATATTCCAAACATGCATAAACCCTTTTGATACCACAAAAGCCAATGAAAGCTTGGTTGTTCACCAGCATCACATTGCTTTGGTTGCTTTGGCAGCAAGAAGCTGTTAGCTATCTAATATTCCCTCTGGGATCCCAAGAATACTGCTGTAGTAACAAAATATTTGCTGTTGGGATGTCTTTGTCTTCCAGGTCTCTAAAGAAAAACGCAGCTGCCATTTATTTCTCCTAAATAACTTCTTCCACTTCACAATCTAAGCGGACTATAGGGTTTGGTTACCATGAAGACAACAATTCACCCTTGCCTTTAATTTTAGCAAGAAACTGCTGTAAGATGATATTCCAAACATGCATAAACCCTTTTGATACCACAAAAGCCAATGAAAGCTTGGTTGTTCACCAGCATCACATTGCTTTGGCAGCAAGAAGCTGTTAGCTATCTAATATTCCCTCTGGGATCCCAAGAATACTGCTGTAGTAACAAAATATTTGCTGTTGTTATAAAGACATTTCTCTATCTTTCTTAGCAACAGAGTGGCAGCTTAAAAGCACTATCTTTTGCAGGAACAGAAAGAATCAGTTCTTCCCTACCAGTTAAGGGCAGTTTTGAAGCAGGTCAAATTATTACCCAAACGATTTGAATTGGTTAGTGATACCTTCAAGCCTTTGCAATCCTTAACCTTTTCCTTTGTCTACTGTTTTGCATCTAGGTGTTTCATAGAAGTCAGCAGAACATTAAGACCTGGAGTACATTCAAGGTACTGGGTGAAAGATTGGGTGTCCATTTGAGTACATTTGACTGCAGAGTCATTAAAGGCAAATAAACAGGAGAGGAGAAAGGACAGACGAACACCAAAAGAAATAGGACAGGAAAGACTAGTTAGTTATTTGGCAACTATCTAACGGTGCATGTCTTCCATTTAAGCTATCAAGCTATTTGATCATGGGGTGCATGAGCACACCTGGATGCCAATCACCAACATTGTGCAGATGCCTGAACAAGATACACTTCAGAAAATAATGCACCTGCTTCCTGCAGTGTAAATATTCATTTAGAGCGACACAAACATGCGGTATTAAAACTCACTTATCTTCGTATTCAATATTCACCCACCTTTAAAGGTTTATAAGCACAGTTACTAGTCTTTCATCTATCCCCAAGAACCAGTCAGCTGCATTGAGAGGATGCAGATTTTCTCCTCTCCTGCTCCCTTTTCAGTCTCATTCCAGATAAAACATCTTCCTTTCAGGGATTATAATACTAAGGGGAAAAAAATCTCATTTTTAAGGTCTGTTTCTAAAGAACAATCGTGTATCTGTTTGCCTAGAAAAAAGAGCCCAACCAACATTTATTTTATATGAAAGGGAGATCTTGCAAAGCTGTAAGATTATGAATTGGTACAACCCAAGAATGGAACTGAAAGAACAAGACTGTTTTTATTGGGCCACCTTCAGTATTTTACCAGAGCTTAAAAAAAAAAGTAATCTACTTTTAGGAAACCTATTAAAAAGAAAACACACACCGCCCTACTTACTAGATCTAGTTCTAGCAAGCAAGACACATTTTTTAAGTGTCAAGAGATACAGTACCATATGACTTCTACGCCCCAAAAAGCTACCCTAAGAGAAGCATAATCCGTTTTTGTAGTTCCCCAGAAAAAAACCCACAATATGCTTTATCTTCCAGAGCCTCCAACCTTGAGAGAGTAAAAAACCTTATGTCAGTTTGTTTACTAAGCTCCAAGCCTGCCTTGAAGTTATGACACAGCTATTCTCTACAGCTGATTTTTACTGCACGTGTTCTTCCCAAGTACTCTAATCAATGGCACTTTTGTTAGAATTGGTCAACATTCCAACAGAAAATGCTTTCATTATAAAAACACAAGCTCAATTATACTGATCTGACTTTTTTGTAAGCAAAAATATCCCACTTTCTGAACTTAATCCACTGATTTCAAATTAGATGCTTCAAAAATATTATTTGGTTAGAAAAGTGACGATCCAGTACAATTACAAGGTAAAGACTTTTTGAAAAATGCCAGAATTTTCCCACAATCAAAGTAATGAATTTTAGTGAACACCAAGTTTCAACTTCAGAGTCTGAGAGGCTACTCTTCCCCCCCCCCCAAAAGTCATGATGATTAGTTAACTTTAATTTCATGTGACATGAAACTTACAAGTGCCTGTTCCTGTTTTCTTTCTGTGCTGAGCATAAGCAAACGTTTATTGACAAACCAACATTTCCCAACAGATCATATTACTGCAGATTTATGCACTCCTACTGCTCAAATAATCAAAATACTGACCAATAAGAAGGCTCTTCAGTCTTCTGTATTCTTCATTTACATCAAACATGTCACCAGCAAATATCAGCATAGGTTTTGTTCCTTCAGGACATTTACTGTTCTGCGGAATAAGAATTTTAAAACAGAATAAAAATTCAGGCCGTGTCAGGAAACATATTATTGCCTTAATAGGTGGTTAGCCATTCAACATCGAATGAAAAATTGTTGTGACCTGCAATCAATATGGACAGAATAGACACATTTTTTTTCATTGAACACCACTGTATGCGTATGGAAGGACTTTGTTTTTAAAAGGGTGAATTGTATTAGTCTTTGTGGTGGATTAAAAAAAGAGAGATTCTTTACTATAAAATGTATAAGATAACACCTTTCGGTGAAAACGAGTGAATTTGACTGCAACTACTAATAAAAAAATTAAAATTAGAGGCAGACAAGTCTATTGTACTTCTGACACTGGAGAATACATGAAAAAGGCTAAAAGAATAGTTTAGTCAATCACCGAATTAAAATTCTGGCCAACAAATACATTTACTTAACTACAGCTTCCCTGCTATAAACAGTGTGATGAAGATACACACTACAATCTGACTTCAAGGGGAAGATTCACCTTTATAAACCGTAACTTCTTCACTATCCCTCTAGACTGTCCTGCCAATTTATACACTGTGATGAGAATAAGGACCATAAAAATCCCTTATTTTCGCAGTGTATTAACTGCTTGATACAAAAGTACACACATATGAAATATGTTTTAGTGTTGCCAAAATGAGCCTAACACAGGTGAATATTCTCTCGGTTTAAATAATCAAGATGTTAGCTGCCCGTCTGAATTAAGTATGGTTCCCTGAAAACTGGCATTTACGTGCTACTGAAAGCTAAAGAAAGTTTCAGAATCATCTCAGTCAGCAGAGTGACCCCTTTTAGCTATAATTTGAGAAGAGGGATTTCAGTTTTCAAAGCCTACACCAGTTTATATAGGAACCTACCATGAGCAGAACCTGACTAAGGAATTTTGTAAATGTAACTAATTAAAAAGGAAAACATTAGGAATAAACCAAGTCTAAAAAAAGAATTTGCAAAGAAAGTTGCAAGCTTGCTCAAAACAACCAAAATAAAATAAAAAGCAGAGCATAAAAAACCTCAACATTCTGGGGTACACAAATTAGCAATCGTCACATACGGCATGAAATGCTTTTTTGAAAAAATCCTGTCCTTCAGAGCACAGAAAAAGCCAATGCACCAAAAAAATCCACCAGTAGATGTCACTGAAATACCGAATTAGCAATTCCTTACCTTGACATCTTTTAGGGATACAAACTTCTCAATGCCTAGCTCAATCATGTCTAGGACGTGATAGTCAAACATGCGACCTGTGAAAGTAAAAAAAGAAAATCCAGCTATTTAAATATTCATTGAAAACTAGTCCTTTCATCCAAATAAAAACCCAAGTGAGACATATTACCTATTATCAGGTTGTTAGGCCGCTTCTTGTTATGAGAGCCAAACAGAAACAAAGAACAATCTGATTTCTTGGAAAAAAATTCCTACAATTGAGGAAAAGAACAAAACTCATGAGTTCCAGTCTGTAGTGTTTAAAATATTTGGTGAAGGCATACGTCGCAAACACGTGAGTTTAGGAGCTGCTTAATTAGAAGAGCAACTGCACTTAACAGAAGGGTTTTGAGCATGTCCAGGTCCACGTAAGCTAAAAGTGACAGCTGGATTCAAGGTTCAAATAACAATTCGTTTCCTTTTTTTATTTCCCACTGCAGTCTTAAAGATCAAGCCAGGTAATTTTTTCTTGCCATTTTTATCTGTAATGCCCTTTTTCATAATCCCTCATCATTTGTTTTTACATAAGATACCTTCAACCACTTCTCCTTGCCTGAAGAGTAAGTATTTGCAAGTTGGCTGCAGTTGTAATGCCTCATTTTAGTTACCCAGCTAAGCTTCACGCAGCATATTAGCTTTGCCTAACAGCTTCTGAACAATCAGTTAATTCCCTCCACAGCAAGCCTGGGAACACCTGCAAATATCTAATGTTCTCACACTTGGGCACGAGAGTCCTACTACAGAGCAACTTCACGTCAATTTATTATTTAAGAATAAGGTGCTACTTAAAACCAAGCCAGTGGTGACTATCATAGAGAAGATCTTTTCTCCAGGTGGAGTAGATAGAGAACCTATTATGGTGTTATGTCCAGAGCCAACATTAAAGCAATTCTTTCTGAGGACGTCCAACTCCAAAGCCTTTTTATGCACGGCTGCTTCTCAAGACAGCCCCTCTTTCTGTGTATCAACTATAGTTCCTAGATATACACACACGCTATTTACCCAGTACTTCCCAGAAGTACCAGAGTTTCTACACCTACACTTAGCAGTTATGAAGCAGAAAAAGCCACTCATCTCCTCCCACCCCTGCAACAGCAGCAGCTCAGAGAGGACGTCACAGCTCTGCCCTTCTGGGAGCTCAGGAGAGATACCCCCAGGAGCAATCCTAGGCTCGATTAATTGCACGTACAAATCACACAGCTCAGCACTGAGCTCTGCCACCAGGTCCCTGAAAAATACTGACTGTAGACAGATCAAGAACAGAACCATCCCCTTGAAACACTTGCTCATACAGCTCTGTTAATCACTGCGTGTTGATATATGTAAATTGTCAAACAGCTGTATGATATTTTATTAAAAAGATGCAACAAACTCAAATGCCTCAAATGTGGTCTGCATATACTGCGACATCACATACATTGCAAAATTGCCCTTTTAAAAAGATGCCTGTAACCAAGTTAAAAAAAAAAAACCAAAAACCTAACTTGATTTGACTTCCCATATCTTTCTAGGCTCTGATTATTTGTTGACACTGTTCTCAATGACCCAACCCTATTGTTCTGAGGTTACAAGAATTAAAGTTCCCTGAAGGACCCCCTTTTAAAATATCAGAATGATTTTAGCTGCCATGTTTTCCCAGAAATTATCAGAAGTTTAAACCAGTGGTCAGCTAATAATCAGCTAGTTCCTATATGACTGTGAAACCAAGTCATCCAGCTATGGGATTGTAAGAGGTTTAGTTCCAGCAAATAATGTTGCAAATCTTTCCTCACTGCCTACAGTAAGTTTGCCATTCCACCGATGATAGTTTAGGGATGGCTGCATTACTGCGCTTTATGCCAAGAACAGAACAGAAGCACATACTACGACACCTCAGCATCAGATTTAATGCAGATTAAGTAACTTTCTACCTTGGTGTATCTATGCTGCAACCACAATGATTTTTTGTTCCTAACACATTAAAAATGCTTTAACTCCACTGTCCAATACAACTTCAGCAACTCCTCTAGCACTCACTATTGGCTGCCTTCACTTTTTCAAAATGGATCCTTAATGATCATTAAGGATCCTTCGCTATCTCTCCCCTCCTCTCCCTTTTTATTTACAGAGAATTCCTTAGATATGTTTCCCCTTTATTTTCACAATCACCTTCAGACAAGAAAGTGCGTTTGTGCCCGGTGTGTATACATGAATTTTTTTTTTTTCCTTCACACAGATTTACTTAATACAGCACCCCCAACTTCAGTGTGCATTTTCAGTTAGTTATTTCAACAGCTGCCTCACGTGTTGGAAAACTGACCCTTATCTCCCTATGTGAGTCAGCAGTGGCACAGAGCAAACATTACCAAATCATGATCACTGGGAACCAAACAACTTATTTTGGGATAATTAATTTTTGTCTTTATTGTAAAACCACAGCTGTACATCGCTATCTCCTTTCTCTCATTTTGTTGAAGGAAATACATATCTTCCTTTTATGACAGACATATTTCAGCAGTAAAAGTAATGCTTCGACTGAAGGGCAAATGTGTAAGATGTAATCTTAGGATTAGCCCCTCTATTTTTTGCCTTCCTGCTCATAAATAATCTTGACCTTAAAGCACTGAATCAACACCAAATCCAGACAGGGGCATATTACCAAATGTATTTCCAAACACACACTCCCTTCCAAAGTACCCTCCAAGCCTCTGAAGAGCCACTTTTGCAACCTCTTTGCAGGCCAAATACACATATTTAACTGAAATTGTGCATTTTTCTGACAGTTCTTGACTGCATGTTGGAACAGAACTCTCAGCGACCATCTCACACTTGCACAGCTGATGCATGTGTTTGCCTGTGGTACTCTGCTGGGCTTTCTTCCCCTACTCAAACACGAGGAACTCACAGAAAGCTATGACCCCTACATTTAACTATTTTAACCTATGAATTCACCAAATTGAAAACACGTTGGTCATAAGCTATGGCACTTTAGAGGACTGACTTTTAGAAAACCAAAATAAAACACTTTATTCTTCCTTTCATATCAAGCACTGTTATAATAGCGTTACAGACCCCTACATTCGCCTGTCTGTTTACAGAAACATGCATTTAAGGTAAAGACAAAGTCCTCACAACTTAACAGTTGTCTTGCAGCCAGAGGAAAAATATGCCTACCGACGCCATAAATCTAGACATAGGCCTACCTTCAACCTATCCAGACTCCCTGTAAACTTTGTTTCTCATCTAGTTCCTCACAGAGTAATAGCAAATTATCCTCCAACAAAGTTCTTCACGACTTTAAGGCTGTAAAACGTCACAAGAGAAGACATGGTTTACACTTACCAATGATGTTTGATCCTCAAAAGGCCTAGTAATATTTTTCCTGAGAGGAGGAAAAAGAAAGGGGGAAAAAAAAAGATTAAAAAAAGAACAGGCCTAGATAAGCACTTCTAATTAGTTCTCTGATAACACTAAAATTCTGCATTCTACTGGAAACTCCAGCAGTAGAGGTTCGGTTTTAGTTCAAATCAGAAGCCATATTAATACTGCCAGGAGTTCCTTAGTGCCACAGTTGCCATTTTAAGTACTTTCCTCCATGTTTCCTGTCTCCTGGGGCCTGACTTCCAGACTGCCGCCAGTGACACTTCATAAGCCTTCGCTTGTTCATCCAATGTTAAATTCAGCTGTTACAATTAATGCCTCTGCACTACGTCCATACAGATACTGGGTTCCCGTTTTGAGCAAGATGTATCTATCATTATAATCTGTAACTCAAATTTATAAGAATTTGGGTGTAAGAACTCCAGCCTACCCACCGGACACAGGACCTCGCTAGCTGTTTGCACAGATGAGGGTCAGAGAAGCCAACTGTTCAAGTTTGCTGAATCCTGCTCTGTAACACTTGGCACAGAGCTGGGCTCAGCACCAACACTGATCACATGTAGCTTGCTTCCACTCCACTGAAATGTACGATGAGTCTCAGACACCTTCTGCAACCCTTTCCATTGTTCAAGCCCTCATGCCAGCCAGCATCTCTGTTCGTGCTTTGAAATTACCAAATGCTGTCTCATCAGAAGACTCAAAGGCGTCAAAGTGAGACCACTTACTTTTTATACAGTACAGCAAAAGGCTTCTTCACAGCATACTGCAAAAGACACAGTTAAACACGTGTTATCTCTAATACATTCAAGTACGCAACATTGCTTTTTCTAAAACCCTACAACTTACACGATCACGTGAAATAGAGTAATTGTTTGTGCAAGTCAGTCTAGAAAAGAAGTCACTTCAAAAGGCCTGCTCGCAATAATACTCTTCAAGTTAGTAGTACTAATCTTGGTTCCAAATCAATTGCAGAAGGACTTATTTCTAGAAACCAAGAAACAACAAAGTAACTGAGAAACAGCTGAAATCAAAGCCACGTAATGGAATCTCCGCTTCTAGTGGCATGAGGAAAACCAGGGGGTGAACAACCACCTCATTATCATCAGCATAAGATGGTAAGAAAATGACAAAAAGCAGGGAGAGAGAAGAGTGTAGGAACAGCTATAATATTTTCGGGTAAAGAGTTAGGAGACATGATTTTAAGTTTAAGTTTTGGGAGAGGCTGAAAGCTCCATATCAATACACACAAGCAGTTTACAGGATTCTGGGACATGACTTCAGCTGTGTGATCCAGTCCCAATCCTGTACTCTTGTTTTCAAATGGACTTGCAACACTTCACCTTATATACCAGACAACCATGGAAAAAAATAATAGTGAAGAGAATAAGCTCAAAACCTATGGCAAAGAGGAAACAGGAAAAAAATAATCTCTTTCGAGGGGTACGTAATAACACCTTTGGCATACCAGTCAATCTGAAATTTGGGGAACAGAGAGAGTATGAAAATAATCGATCTTGTGGGGGACAATATGCAAACTGTAAGAAAAAGAGAAAGGAAGGTACCCTTGGCGTAGCACAAAAGGTAGTACAATTAAAGGTTGCATACGTCTGTCCAGCAACTTACAATGTCTTTAAGCACTTCAGTCACTGTTAAGTTTGCATTTCCTCCTTTTATGAGCATAGCATTTTTTGTATTTTCTTTAAGTTTGGGTTCTCTCTTCTCAAGAAATCTTTTTGCTCTCTTAGTTTTAGGCTTTCTGTAACAATAAATTGACAGTTAAAAACTTAATATTAGTAACAACACCCGACACCGCAGAAAACAGTAAAAGAAAACAAGAATTGGAACAAGCTGCGTTCAAATAACTTGTTTCAGCGACCCAAACTAATCCCAACCTGCAGAATTACGATCAGTGCTAGAAGCCCGGTCTCAGACGAACGTGGTTGACTGCCACTCCTCTTCCTCTCTGTCCCCCCAAGCTAGCAAAAGTGATTTTACAGTCTTGGGCTTTTCAGTTTCTGCTGATTTACAGCTTAAGCTATATCAGAATTCCCACAGACTACTGACAGGCTGAAAGCTTCCCTCACACCAGCTCCCTCCCCAAGTCAGAGACTCGCATACGGGAAGAAAACGAAGCTCCTCAGAGACCACCGATGGCATCCAAAAGAACAGCTCGGGTACGGCGTATCTGGCGGTACGAACCAGAGAGCAGTACCGTGCGTTATTTAGGTGAAGTACACCTGAAGCCTTAGCAGGGGCACAGAGCTTATATAAATTAATAACTACATGGCTTAAGAACTACCTTTCTCCACTAGATGAACGTAAAGTTTTTAGCATCTTCTCCGAGAAGCGTTATATTTATTTTCTTTTAAAAAACGGACAAAGGAGAACCCACACACAGCTACTTCCAACTACAGACGAAGCTAGCTCTTTCGAGCGTACAGAAATACATACATCCAACACCAGCTGGTCCCCGCGGCTCCTTTAAGTTACCGACTGAGCGAGGGCCACCGATAAAGAGACGGCCGCGCCCGGTTTCCCTCCTTCCCGCTCGTTTTCCGTGGGCCTTTTCCCTCCGCCGGCCATCCCCCCTTGCAACCCTCCCCAGACCGGC